CATTTAAAGCACAATATAGATATGGAAAATTAAGTAAAAATTGAAGTTCACTAGAAGTCTACATTCCATAAGCATTCTTCAGAAACTGGAACAAATATTTTAAGACCAAATTCAGAAGATATTGAAGATAATTAAATAAGTTAAAAATATTTAATATAAATATTAAAGTCAGAGATATTTAAGTTGAGATACACCAGCACTTCAGTAAACAAGATTTATGCACAGACAGCCACAGCATAAAGTCAAAACTCACAAATTATAAATATAGTACCGGTAATAGCATTCTTTCATTTTCACAATGGCATTTCAATCCTCTAAGCATGTTTACTAAGAGATGTTGTATAAAGTAAATACTTCCCCCTAAACATTTTTTTTAATATAAAATTCAATTTAAAAATGTAATTTGTACCAAAGAGAACACTTAAACTAATGCATAAATTATCACATGTATTATCAAGACCAATTTCACATTTATATAGTGTTAGCATCCAAGAATGTCCAAAAACACTTAGAAGCTAGACAAAGTACACATGAAATGTAGACTTTATTGTTGTTTTGAGTTAATAAAATCTACTGCCAATCTAGAGTGAATTGTAATGAAATAAGTGTTCAATGGATTTGAGTGTTTCTCATGGGATACAGCTTTCAAACTCTTCTATTTGCTATTCAATCAGTTAGCATGTCAGTAGTAAACACTTCCAATTATTGACTTTATTACGTCAGAGTTGTGCATAACCATGGCAACTGAGAGTTCAATTCACTAAGTTTAAATTATTCTCTTTTACATTATTTTTTTAAAATGTTGTTCACAGTGAAGAAATACTGATACACTAATATATTTTAAGTTTATTTATTCTCAATTATATTTAACAATTAATGAATTTATTTGGTTTTTTATTAATTTAAACGCTTGCTTTTTTTAAATCAAGTATTTCTGAATCAGTTAAATATCAGTTGTATGTATGTGGTTTATATTGTCCTTCCCCAAATACTGCCCCCCCTCGTATACTATTTTGATTTACAGTAATTGGCTAATAACTAACATACATGTACATGTAAACAAATTTAGCACCCGCTATCGAGATTTCTAGTGATACAACCCTTGGTTGCCTAGCAATACACAGGGCATCATGGGGAGTAAGACCTAATAAAATCAGTTCTACATTTTCTTCAACAGACCAGTAGAAAATTGGGCGGGCTTAGCTTATCGTAAATTCCATCATGTACTTTTAGTAGTGCACTTTAAAACTATGTGGTTTCGTTTCCTGTAACCATGTCTCCATTCTAAATACCATTTGGTGTCAAATATTTTGCTACAAAGTAATAAAGGTTACTTCTGTTGTGGGCAGCCATTTTTGCATGAACGATTGCCTTGCTTTGTCAGTGGGAATATTCCCTACAATGGGGGCATTGAATTAGCAGGATGAGCTGCTGCTTGCTTTCCTCCTCAGGCAAATTTTTTGACTGGTTTCTGGTCTGCGCAAGGAAAATGGCTGAATTGACTTTATTAGGGGATCTACTCATGATGCCCAGTACATTGCCAGAGGTTATAACGCCAAGGGTTATAACACTAGAAAAGTCTCTGAGAGATAGTGGCATATTTGTCTATGCCGGACAAATGATATCTAAATAGTGGTAGTATTTGGCAGTAACTAATAAACAACGGAACTGGCTGAAGTAGTTCCTTCTAATTGCTCCATATTTATATGTACAAAAACATAATTAAATACAAATCATAACTATACAACAAAAGAAAGATATGCTTGGACTGTTCATCTTATTTTTATGACAGATAAAATAAATTACATACATATAGTGGGTATTGTATCATTGAAAAACATATTAATACCATGATGATTAATTAAAAGATAGAGGTCTATCAGTTTTTAATATTGTGCAGAATTTACGTTTTTAATATTTAATACTTGTACCAGGTGTCAATATACAAAGAAAGAATATCATATTTTTGTATTTGATAATAAATATTTAATAACAAAAATATAAACAGTAAACGCACTAATACAGTAAAAGAAGAAAGACTTGGAAAGAACTGAATGCAGATCTCTTTAGGCTGTCAACCTTCAATTATATTTGTATTTTAAGGGATTTTCTCAAAATTGTGCATCAGCTCCTCAATCACAAGATGTTTTTTACACAGTGCAAATCGGTTTTCCATCCATAGAATAATTAAATAGACACTATGCTGTTCACCTAATATGAATGTAATGTAACTACGCATTTGTTTTTAAATGTTCCTTCCAAATAATTCAATTAGGGAATTAAAACTTTCTCAATAACAAAAAATAGACCTGTTTCTGGTCCAAGGTTTTTTTAAAAAATATAATGTGGTGGAGTTTTTTAATTTTTTTTAATTAATAAATGTGAACTTTGAACATATATACATTGTATTGTCATTGTAGTATTTAATAATTTTAATACAAACAAAAAATGAAAAAAAAATTTAAACCATGCCACTGCATTTTTTTTTAATTTTACCTAGAACCAGAAGCAAAACCTAGTTTTTGACCTTCGTGCATGTTTTTTAATGGAACAGCATTTTAGACAATTCTATTTTAGACAATTCTATTTGAATACAACTGAATACAAGACAGTCTAGAGGGCGGCATTTCCAAAGCATGAGGTGGCTGTACCTGTAGAGGGCAGTATTGCTAAGCCCAACATCAAATGGAGTTGAAAAAGTATATTTTTTGAAATAGGGTGTGTGAGGGCTCACTTCAATAATTACTAATGCACAATATAAAAGCTATACTGTTTATCGTTTAAAATATACTAAATACTGTAACTTGAAAAATATTTAATTTCAGTAGATTTGACTGCAGCCTGTAGTAATTCGGAACATAAGTGAATCTTTGTAAACCCACAGAAGCTACACAAACAACCTTTTCACCACCAGTTCCCTCTTTTCATCTTAAATTCACAAAATAGTTCCATTTATAGTCTGCACTTTGCTTTAGAAAATTGGGACAAAATTTGCCAAATTTTTTTGCGTAAAAACTGAAAATTGACACATCTTTTGTCTGTTGGCTCAATTAATTAGAGATCATTCCCAGAAATATTGAAGAATATAAGAAAGAAGTGCAGACAAATTTGGTCGAGAAAATCTGGTGGTGAAAAAGCAATTTGAATACAAAATCAAATAGGAAGCTGAAACTATCACCAGCATTCACCATATTGTGGTTGGGTTTGGTCAGCCACATTCCAACGTGAGTTAGGAATTCAGCGGAACAACTTGAACTTGAACTCTCACAAATCACTTGTTAACATAAATTGCATTTATTGGTGATCAAAACACTTCAAACGAAAGTGTAAACTTCTGATATTTACATAAACTTGTAGAATGCCATAAAACATGAACATTGCATAGTAAACAGATGAACTAACTGACCCACAGTTGAGCATGGAGTAAAAAACTAGAACAGAACTACCGTTTTACTTTTAAAACATTACGTCGTTTTCCACGCAGACAGAGGTCAACCAATCAGTGACTTAGTCCTCATTTAATAATGAAATATCAGTCAACACCTATGGCTTATTATGGTTTCAACTATAATAATTGAAATTTGAATGTTTATTAGCGATATATATATATATCCCACAATGCATGCAATTCAGACCATCATATATATACATAAGAGTACAAAGATCCCCATAAGGCTCTATGAATTGTCTCCAAATACAACTTTACAACCTTTACAATAAGACATACCTTGGGAACATCCGTGACATTTCTAATTCCAAATACTATTGTATAAGCATCAACAGATTCATCTTCTATTGGCAAATCCTGAGCATCACCGACAATAAATGATATACCTATACAACAAAAATAAGTTATGTCTCTCATTTTACAGTGGTTGATTCAACGAGGGGGGTGTTCCACGCTAAAACTGAATTGCTACTCGTACACATTTAACATACACACCCACACCCACACCGATAATAAATGATATACCTACAACAAAGATAAGTTATGTCTCTCATTTTACAGTGGTTGATTCAACGAGGGGGGTGTTCCACGCTAAAACTGAATTGTTACTCATACACATTTAACATACACACCGACACCCACACCGATAATAAATGATATACCTATACAACAAAGATATGTTATGTCTCTCATTTTACAGTGGTTGATTCAACGAGGGGGGTGTTCCACGCTAAAACTGAATTGTTACTCATACACATTTAACATACACACCCACACCGATAATAAATGATATACCTACAACAAAGATATGTTATGTCTCTCATTTTACAGTGGTTGATTCAACGAGGGGGGTATTCCACACTAAAACTGAATTGTTACTCATACACATTTAACATACACACCCACACCGACACCGATAATAAATGATATACCTACAACAAAGATAAGTTATGTCTCTCATTTTATAGTGGTTGATTCAACGAGGGGGGTGTTCCACGCTAAAACTGAATTGTTACTCGTACACATTTAACATACACACGCACACCGACACCGATAATAAATGATTTACCTACAACAAAGATATGTTATGTCTCTCATTTTACGGTGGTTGATTCAACGAGGGGGGTGTTCCACGCTAAAACTAAATTGTTACTCATACACATTTAACATACATACACACCCACACAGACACCGATAATAAATGATATACCTATACAACAAAGATAAGTTATGTCTCTCATTTTACAGTGGTTGATTCAACGAGGGGGTGTTCCACGCTAAAACTAAATTGTTACTCATACACATTTAACATACACACCGACACCGATAATAAATGATATACCTATACAACAAAGATAAGTTATGTTTCTCATTTTACGTGGTTGATTCAACAAGGGGGATGTTTGACACTAAAACCATTTTTACTCAGTCACACTTAACACACATATCCATAATAAAATGCATAACAGTTCCAAAAGTTGACCCCCCCCCCCCCAACCAAAAATCTTGCGTCCATATCGTAAAATTTGAAACAGTCATAATCAAGTGATCATTTGTGATTATTGAGCTCATCAACTGGCTATACTTAACACATCATCTACGGAAGACTTTTTCCCCATTATTTTGGCAATTTATGGATGCTATGCTGCTGCAGTATTTACATGTAATAATTTATATGTGTATCATACTCAGAAAATGTAATGCAAAGAAAATTAAAAAAATTATCAAGATGTAATATTCATGCACCACAGTGAGCGCAGCACATGTCCAAATTTATGTGAAGAAAGAAAATTTTTTTTGCTTTGTATATGCATTGAGGTACCTCCATGGTATATGTTATACAAGTCTCATATCAAACACTGTAATGGTGTGATTATGAAGTTTTATTCTATTACTGTAGAACCATTTATTTTCACTGCCATTTAATTTCACTATTTTGATGTTTCAAGCAATTTCACTGGGTTTAAGGTTCACAGATTCAATAGCAAAACAATGAGTTCTATTGTTATCTGACATGTTCGGGTGCATTTAATTTAGCAAATTTTACTTATCAGCAAAAATAGCAAAATTAAAATCAGTGAATAATTAATGTGTTTACAGTATATAAAGCTTATCATACATAGTGAAATGCTCATTGCACTAATATATTATGATTCCTGAATGACATACCGGTAATAACAATCTTACCTTGGTCATAGCCCTCTTTTCTTGCTCTTCGTTTTCCTACTTTCACCATTTTCTCATTAATATCGACAAGAGTGACATTAGAAAATTTTTCTGTTTCTTGAATATTATATTCTGAATCTGAACTTGATGATTCAGATGAGCTACTGGTTTCCACATCATGGAGTTTGGTTCGCAGAGGTCCCATTAAACCTCCTTGTCTTTTAATATAGTCTATAAACCGAAATGCAATATCACCTGCAATCAAATATAAATGACAAATTTTAAGACCTAAAAAAGGTTTTGTGTTTTTGTCCCAGTGAAAATTAAAAAAAAACTTGTTGTATTATTATTGCTTATTTAATACAACAGCAGGATATATGTTCAGCAATTACCATTCATTAATAAATAATGCCTTTAACGACATGCATTAAAAGTATCGGTACTTTAAACATCCTCTGAACCAGAAAACATTTCCCTTTTTTACCGTATGTGACACAATTCACGAGAATTGAAAATAAAATGTAATGCGCAGGTTTCAAACGAATCGATGTGCATTATGACAAGAAGCGAAACTTTTGCCTAAGATGGTCAATCTTGGTTGTTCTAAAGAATAAAAAGCAAATTGATCAACTCATTAAAACATGGCCGACATTCAACCATCTTAAATTAGATGTATAATTAGATATAAGTGTGAAATTTGAATGTGCTAGGTCCAGACGTGCAAAATACATCACACAGGGTAATCACACAGATGCACAGAGGTTAAATAAACCACAAGTCCTCTACAACTCAATATTCTTAATTTCAGCTTGCATTGTCTACAGTAGCAAACAGGTATGACTCATAATTTATGTTATCCATGTTCTCTTAAAAAAAAAATGCTTGTAGCACAGTTGGGCTATCATTTTGACTGAAGGATTTTCATTCCAATGTTACTATGAAAATAACATTTTGAAAACCAGGTTTCCAGGGTAAATATTTATATTTGATAATATTTAAGATAATCCTTTCACCCATACTGGTGCTTTTTAAACAGACATACATGTCTAGAACGTTGTGAGGTGGAGTACTAATGATGTCACATGCAAAGGGTCTATTGGGATGTCCTGTATCTTTTGAATATAGCCTGGAACTTAAAATGGGTCTCATGAACAACATAACGCGAGTGATTAGAGGAGCTATGCTATTAAAATCTATTCATAATGGTATGGATTGGGAGAGTAATGATTTGCACTTCTGGAACTTTTGGTGAGTAATAGACAAATGATCACTGTTCTTAGAAAGTAAAAATTCAATCAACTCTAACTGAACTCACCTGTTCCACCGGCCACATCTAACAATCTTGTTCCAGGCATTGGATTCAATACTTCCATAAATCTATCTTTCCACAGTCTGTGTATTCCAAAACTCATTACATCATTCATTAAATCATATCTATTGGCCACATTTTTAAAAACCATAGACACTGAAACATAGAATAAGGATTGCAATTAATTATAATTAAGTATCACAGCAGCATAATAATGATATAACGATATACAATGTAGCCACTGCTTTCTGTGGCAACACTTTGTGCATGGAAGGTAGTAAGGGAGGAGAGAGGACAAGTTTTAAACCAAATTTATATCTTTTATTTCAAGCTTTTTTGTCATTGTATATTTTTCCTTTCATCATTGCTTCAGCTGTGTGCCAACAAAATACTTGTTTCTCAGCATGAGTAGATGATGGACTGCTCTGTTCCTGTAGTAAAATTGTTTTAGTTAGAAAACTATTGAAAACATGTCCTGTGGTCTCCTGAAGTATTTGAAAGTGAGGCTTTGTACCAGACACTTTCAGATAAGCTCAGTTGATTACATGTGTGATAATGTGTAATGTTGAATAAAAACATGATTTTTACACAATAGTTTGACCATTTTGTTTTCAGTCAATTCATGACGAACTGACTTTTAAAATGTGTTGTGTGTGTGAAATATGATGCTAGGACCCTGGTAGGATAATGAAAACTTGTTATTGGGACAAAATATTTTTCATTTTACAAGTATCTGTAATTTGGTCGTTATCTGATTTTGGTGTCAATTCAAAACAATGACAATTTGATTTTGATAGTAGTATTCACTTAATATTTCTTTAAACTGTGGCTCTGCAATCCCTGGGATTGCACCAGTGCATAATGGGAAATAAAATTTGAATGGCCCGCCCATCGTTTGCTATCCAGATGAAATGCATTATCCTATGTACATCACTTTCTGCCTTGAAATGATGTATCACTTAGTTTGGAGTAACACTTTAATAAACCTACGATTGTCATTTTAAAGATTTCCATTACATACCTGTCATATTGCATATACACCAAAACAGCAACATTGCCAGCAACTTTGCTGACCAGATTGCTATACACATCTGGAGATCATTACACGATCAAAAAAAAACTGGGTCAAACCAACCACAACAAAAGACGTCAAACTAATAGTGAGGGATTTGGACATGTTCAATATAAATAGAAGATGCAATTACCTTTCAATTTATTTCATCCAATCGTATAAATAGCTGTATGGTAATGATAAAGATGTCGAAAAAACTTTAAAATGATTTGATCTGAACAGTCTCATCACGTAACGATCTTGGATGTTCACTGCAAACCAGTCAACAACTTAGCTGGCAATGTTGCTGTTTTGGTGTTAAGAACAATATGGCGGTGACAATAAGTGAAACTTTAATTCATTAAATGATTAAATTCAAAAATGTACATTTTTGTGACAAACCAAACAAAAACATGGTTTTTAATACTCTCAAAAATAAATATGATTTTCAGAAACATCATTTATAGTGCTAAGTGAAAATATATAACATGTAGATGGTAAAATGTGATCTTCAAGGAGAAACTTGGGTTTGAATATAAGTGTCACCGAACATAGCTCTCATTCACGTACTGTAGTTACATGCAATAGCTTGATTGTAATAAGCTATGATGAAAATGGCAGACGACAAACACCGCATTCCGCAACATACTCACCAAGTTCCCCGTGACTGTCTTTCGTAACTTTTGTGAAACCAAAATCAGACGTTTTCCCATCAGTTCCGTGGTCTTCACCGGCAATTGTATAGCTCCGATATGACGGTAAACTACGTAAGTTCCAACTTCTTCGAGTGGAAATTCGTAACACTCGTGCCAAACTAGCCGCCATGTTTACATGAACCCTTAACTTTGTTGTGATAAAGACTCTAACACCCCCTAAGATACCTCTTCTGATCTTTTCGATCAAGGTTGAAAATGACACTTGTACTGAAATGTGATATTTCATTCAATAATATTAACTTAAATAATATTTACCGAGTATTAATAATATATAATTTCTTTTTATACTTAGTTGTGATTTATATTTAATATTCAAACATTTAAAATTAAGTTTAGTAATTTTATCGTGTACGAGGTCGAGATGAAATTCAACATGGCAGCGATGGACGAACGAGCAATTGTCGAAGCAGAACGTCAAAGATTTAGACAGTGCTCATCTAAACTGATGTCCATGGTTGCTGGAGAGGGGGAAGCTTACAAGACCCCTCTCAATTCAGTTCTTGACCAGTTTATTTCTCTCGATTACTGTATCCAGTTTGTTACCGATAAGGTACGATTATATCAATTTCTTATATATACAGCCTCTTGAAGTTACGTCATCATTACTTCTCAATGTATTATCGCGATCTGCCGTGCGATGAATCATTGCAACGTATGCCATCATGAATTCTGTGTACAGGCATTCACTGAAATATCAAAGAATATCTGTTTTAATTAATAGTTTTCTGATCTTCATAAAAGGAAAATAAAAAATTAAGAACTTACATGAAGGTACTGTTTATAAATTTGTTTTATGGACATTTAATATTTATAAAATATTTATCTTCGATAATCCTCACTTCATTCAAATCCAAAGAAGACACTTCCACTGGCTGTAAAAGCCATTTGGAAATGCACATTACTTGCGAGTCTTTGCAGGTTTACGTCCTTAAGTTATTGGCCAATTTACAACTATTCATCCCTAGATGTGTGGTGATTGGCAGCATTTACAGGGTATTTTCATCTTACCATATTAGGAAATGCAAATTCCAAATATAGAATGATTATGCGCGTAAGCATCCTCTAATAATAAAAACAAACATGGCTGCCACCAGGGTTTGACTGGACTCCACACTAAGAAGTTTGCTGATTCTATTCTAAACTTTTTGGATTTCGGCATTCCCATGATGTAGTGGGAGGAAAAGATGTATAATAATAAGGTTATTACGAGGATACTGAAAAGTATGCACTCAGACATTACTCCATTGCATCGACCTCCGCTGTGTGTTGGTCAATACTCTTGCTGTACTGTCTTTGTGCATACTTTTAAGTATCCTCGTAATAACCTCATATTAATAACACTTTTATCGATCGATACAAGTTTGGACATGCTGTTCACTGTTTTTATAGGGATCCTATTTATAATATCCAAATGTTTCATAAAAGTCGTATTTATCTTTATTGTTACTGTACAGTAATATAAATGTTTCATAAATATACAGTTTTATAAATCAAAATGGATTTTAGAACAAAAATTGACCAATCTGGAAATGGTATTGTGATATTAACGTTTAGTTGCTATATCACGTATGCA